TTTTGAGGATAGAGCACAGATAGAAGTTTTTATTCATGAATAACCAGCCCATTACAGAGATGGACATATCCGACGGTTTGCATGAATCGCTCCGTTGAGCGGACGCTCAAGAGTTGGAGTTGTCCATTAATAGACATGAAACCAGCAAACTTTTCTTCACTATATAAATAAACTACGCACATATGTTTGTTGCTCATAGCTATAGTCTTACACCGTATAATATTTTTTTATTTATTTATCACACAGTTTAGCTGATGTATATATATGTGCGTATTAGTGTGTTTGTTACGTGTTTCAGAAGAAAAACAGAAATGAGATAACGGTTAAACTTAGCAAGTGATCTGGTTTTTAGCACCAAATCACAATAAGAGTTTTATTTTTGGATGGTAAATAAGTCCTCATCGTAGCTAACAAATGATACAGGGAAGAAAATTTTGCTGTTTCATATCTATTAATGAACTGTTCCTTCATAAATATAAAAAACTTCTATCTGTCCTCTACCTTCAGAAAAAAACTAAATTCATTTGGTTGAAGACTCATGAAGATATTGAAATTCTTCTATCTCTAGTTACTTTCCGAACACCCTATATGTTTGTCTGAGATTATTTGTGAGATTGGATTCAGAGATCCAAATTGGTTTTATTTATTCATTACTACACGCATTTTTTCATTCGAATGTTGTTTTCTCTTATTACAACGAAAAGTCTGTTTGTTTTGAAAAAAATAGAGGATTGTCATTAGAGAAATCGTTCTGAATTGCTCAGAGATCTTTTAAACAACGTTTTGGTAGATAAACTTTGGTATTGAAAAAATTTTATAAAAACCCCTGCTGAGGGTGTTATCGGAATGCTTCAGTGATAATACTTTATAGAGAAATGTTTTCGAATAGTAGATGTCATGGTTATCAAGCCTATCATTGTAGCTTCAAAGTTATATGGAAATATTTTCTTCCCATGGGTCTCACGAGAATGGGGCTGTTTAAATGAGTACGTAACCATAATTTTCTGAACCTCTAAAAGCATCGTAGTGCAATTCAATGAAGTGAAATTTTTAGCATAGGTAGATCTTGCAATTATCTTGTGAAACTGTAAGTTTCAGCTCTTAACGACGCACGATTCTCGAGCTATAGGAATCAGAAGATCAAAAATAGATGAGTGTGTTACCTGTGGACAAGCTGTAGTATAACCGTCTTTGGAAAATCGACAAAATAATATGAATTATCTGTTTAAAAAAGGATATAAGAGATTTAAATTGTAGGTGTGATGCAAATGTATGAGAAAATAGTCATTTATCAACAATGATGTTTTTAATGAAATCTTAAAAAAGACAAATACGATTTGATGGCCATAAAACTGAATGCGCTGCTTTTCAATGTAAATGCAAGTTCAAAGAGGATTCCTAATCATTGAGGTTCAATATTATACAAAACAGAAATACAATAAAATGAGATATAACAAGATCTAAAAAATTTTCTTAACTCGTATAAAACTAATTAGTGAAAATTTTCTTTGAAAATTAGACGATTACTAAATGATTTTTATCTTCCGTAGAAATATGCTTTAACAAGAAGTGGTAATTATTGGTCTATTGTATTTGGTATTAGTGTTATCTGCTTTAGTATTTTTTGTCTGTTTATAAACTTCGTAATGTTAGCTATACTTATTTGTGGTACATACAGATTTATTATTAATAAATGGTTTACAGAAAATGAGACACAAATAAGTTTTAAGATCAATTAAATATTTTATTTTCATCATTTTGAAAGTTGGATGTTGATGATAGTTTTTAAAAAGAATTCTTGATGACAGAATCTTTGTTGATATATTTATTCATAACTTTTTTTTTGTCATTGATCCATAAAAACTTCTAAGTTATTGAAAATTAGAAAGAGAGTATTCATTGATTAAACAGAAAAATTACTTCTGTTTATCTAATGTTTCTATAGAATGATGACAAACAATGCAAGTGTTGGTCATCATCATTCAATTGGGATTTTAAATTAATGCATATATATATACGTTGCATGTCCTTTTTTAATCATCATCATGATCAACATAAACAAATTATTATTTAAGTTAATAGAAAACTTTTGAATTACTCTAAAAGGAAAACACTATTTGAGATTGACTCATGTCAATTAATATAAATCGATCTTTCCTTATATAATGTAAATTGTTTTTTTCTGTTGTAATATTTAATATTAGTCGATGTTTGTGTTAATAATCATTTTGTCAAATATTTTTCTTGAGATAATCTTTATTGTTCAAATGTATTTGTTTAAGCTTTTTTATGTTAGAAATAAACTAAAATGATAATCAGTCATTAGAGAAACGATGTTCATTTGACATCGAAGTATGATTCGTTATCAATCAATTCCATCATATGTTATATAATAAAATGATGGAAGACTGTCAGCTGACGAATAATGTCAATATGACGAATGATAGCATCTGGATGATACTAAAGAAACAATATAATAAGTTTCTAATCAATTCGAACGGTTCGATGCCGTCTTTTACTCAACGAACATCTGTACCCGTTCAATAAAGATCTGTTTTCATAAAATCGAACGATAAAAATCTTTTAATTTGAATGATATTTATGAATATCGATCAATGTATTCTGTGTTTCAATAAAATATCTAGATTTAATTCGATACTTATTATTCACATCTTCTCTTTTTTTTCAGGAAAATAGTTCGTCCACCTTTGAACTGCTCGATATGGTGAAACATTAGATGCCAATGCTCTAGTAAATTTCTCATCAATTGTTTTTGAATCTAATCTCAAAATTGTCTAAATTTTAATTTAATATTGCTCAAATTCATTATTTATTTTTCACAAGTGCCTATTATTTGAAATTTGATTTAATCCGGAAGGATATTAGCACTAAGCCAAAGAGATATTTTTCGTAGATATTATAATCAATAAGACATTCCACTATTTATTTATGCAACAAATTCTTTAAGCCTTCCCCCTCCCCCATCCCCTTAGAAACCAACTTTGTTATTTTTCATTCGATTTCAAACAAGTTTTGGGAGAATATTAGTCTAGGTTAGATTATGGATGAAATATCTTCCCTAAACCTCCAATATACTAACGAGTTATAGTCAATTTATTGGTCAAAAGTACCCTGCACGCGGGCAAAGTTTTTGCAATCAGGATACGAGCTAACATGCCAGGACGTTTTTTAAGTTGTAGAGTACCCTTAGAGCTAGATTCTCACAGAGCCCGAGTTTTAAAATTCCCTTTGTTTGTTTTTTTAAAAAATCTTTTCCGAAAAATTCTCGAATTCATGGTCAAAAAAATCGTTGATAAAAATGAAATATGTAAGCTTTTTATTTCGCCAATAGAGAAATTCAAAAATCGGACTCTGTGAGGATCTAGTCCTAACTGTTCTGTATACAATAAAACAAAATTATCACTTCTCTATTGAGTCGTTATTTAAAAAACCTTGCCCGCGTAAACGATATGCTCAAAAAAATTGATTTTGAGAAAAAAAGGAGAATAAGTTTTTAAAAACCTTATTTTTTTTCAATACAAGGGTTCAGAAAAACCTATGTAATATCCTTAAATCTCTTGATAAAATCAATCAAGTATAGTGCATTCGAGAGTAGACACTTTGCTCTATCTAATCAAATTATAAATCATAAAATCAATAAATTTGAACAAATTGACTTTTCTGAGGAGGGGGAAGGGGGAGGGGCGCTTAAGGGTAACTGGTTTATAAAATTATCAACTTCGTTTTTCAGAACTTCGAACCGAACCTAAGGGTGTGGCTGTGGCTGTGGTAGTGGGTGGCTCATATGAGTATCAGAATTGTAGGCACACCCACACACCCACACACCCACACCTACACCCCAAGATCTGCTTCTTCTTTTAAGTTAGAAGCACAGAGCGGAATATAGAAATAGTTGTAGTGTTTATTCTTGAAACTTTTGTAAAATGATTAGAAATATTTTCAGAAAAAAAGTACAAAAAAGTTAGGGAAAAAATAGCGACAACGAGAATATAAAAAATTTTATTCCCCATCGTTTTTCTAAAAAAACTTTAAGCTTATAGTTTAACGAAGAAGAACTTGCTTTTTCCATAAAAAAAAAAGGAAATCACATGGACTGAACAATCCGTCCCATCCCATTTCATGTGAAGCCTGCTTTACACGCGTAATTACATTGAATGTCAAAATTATTCACTCAGCGCCATCCTTATCTTTATTCTAAAAACGGATGAAAATATATTTGAAGATAACAATTTTTGCACATAGACTTGTAACAAGCTCTATTGAATAGAATGTGTTTAGGTCAGCCGTTTAGCTCGTTTTAGAATGGCTAAAAACAATCAACACATATAGCAGAGTGGAAGAATAATGCTAACACTCGCTGTAGATTCTGATATCATGAAAGCCAAGGATCATTATTTTGTCTTGAAAAGAAAAGCTATAATTCTTGTATCATTTCAAGGATGCTCATTCATAGGATTTTCATGAGTTCAGGGCATGGGTTATTTAATCTCTGCGTATAATTCATGCAAGCATTCAAGCACTTGACTATGGAAAGAAACTCATGCGGTATCTACAAATCTTGAGGTCTACACATGTAAAAACACATTCAACTAGGACAAGTTTATTTGTCAATGAAGATTTGCATAAAATAATGATTATCTCGATGAAAACTTTTCATGATTAGTTATGTTTGATTTAATATAACAAATTGAACAAGTCTTTTTTTTGTCAATAATGTTCAAATATCAAAACCAAATAGAAAGGATTGCATTGAAATAATTAAGATAAAAATTCGATGTAACAAATTTGAAATCAGTATTTCTAGTAAGCCAACGATGAAAATCATTATCGTCTAACATTAGATTTAATTCGTTATTAGAGAATTCAATTGAAAAGTTTATTAATTTATGCCAAATACGACGATTCGCATTAATACTCTCATCGACACTAAATAACGTTTGAAAACAACGAATAAATGCAGATTTCTCAAATGGAAATAATTATTTTAAATATTCAACATGCGGGAATTGACGAGCAAGAAGATGAATTTCTCTTTCATCATTTAAACGACATTCAACTATTAAATGACGAACAAAAGGTTGGATCATGGAATTCATTGAAGCTATACCTGAAACAAATAATCTAGATCTTTTTTTTTCATACATTTTATTTGATAAAATTCTCTTACGAGTTTGTTTTGTAAGAATTACTTTAGAAATTCGTGATGTCAATTTTGTATCAATTGATAAACATGTTCTTATTTGATAAGCACGACGAAAACGTGTCTTCAATTCAAATAATTCATTCGGTTCTGTAATCATAACATCTTTTATATATTCATCTTGTTTAACATCTGATGTAACTGATGTATTACATTGATTTTTTACAATAGGTAATTCTCGTTTATCATATTTATTTGATGGCCATGGTAATGAATAGATATGTACCCATTCACACTTTTCATCTTCATAAACAACGTAATTCATTGGCCATACAATAAAATCTTCAAATAATGTTTCATTTCCAATTCTATGTGTCATTGTATAATCAAATTGACAAAGATTTGGTAAATATTCAATTAATATTGATTCAAATTTGGGACCATGACAAAACGTGGGATCAGGTGTATCACGAATACTTAATGTTAATTTCAATAAATTTCTCATATAACCAAGAATAGATTTAATATCATCACTAATAAATCCAATACCAGCTTCCAGTAATGTAAATTCAGTTAATCGAGGACATGATGACAAACTTCGAGGGCGAAGACGAGCTACAAAATAAGATTAACATTTCGGTACTCATTATATTCTCGATGCAATTTTCTAACTCTCATTTGATAGTAGCTCCGAAGATATGAGAATTTGTATTCAAGGGCTAGCACACCCTACACATTTCTCACGGAAACTTGATGGTGATTTCATAAGAAACAAGCTATAATTGGCTCGTACTTTTAGAGTAGCAACTGTTAGATTGGTGATGCAGCCGGACTCGGTCGATGAGTTTTAGAATGGAGTCTATCGTGATCAAAAACAGGTTATAAAAAGTTTATTAGAGATGATATCTGGTCACGTCACTGTTGGTCTTTTTCTTCTACGAAGTATCGGAAATTGCGTAATAAAAAGGCGATCGACTGTCCTCGGAAATCCGTCACTATAATATTAGTATTGAAATTTTTTGACAAAAAAGACTTTCTCTAATTGAAAGAACACATCTCAAAAGCTTCGATAGATGAATCGAATACTTACAGAGTATTCGTGATCGATGTAATTGAATAGTAATTTTTTCTATATTCGGTACAAGTCCACTAAGTAATACATATAAATCATCGATAGTTTCCAAAACT